TTTTACTGCCTTTGCCTCATTCTCATTACAGCAAGATCTATTCCAAACACCATCGACAGCTAGCTACAACCACAATGAGAAGCCACCATATAGCTATGCTCAGTTGATTGTACAAGCTATATCAGCAGCACCGGATAAACAATTGACACTATCGGGCATTTATTCATTCATTGTAAAGCATTATCCGTACTATCGTAAGGAAACTAACAAAGGTTGGCAGAACTCTATTCGCCATAATCTCAGCTTGAATAGGTGTGTAAATATAAATAAACCTATTTAACAAATACATATATTCACTAAATCATTTTTGCACATGTTCGATAGGTATTTCATTAAAGTGGCACGCTCTCAAGATGAGCCGGGGAAGGGCAGTTTTTGGCGCATTGATCCCGATAGTGGCGCCAAGTTGATTGATCACAGCTACAAGAAACGCCGTCAGCGCAGCAGCCAAGGTTTTCGCCCATCATATGGCATGCCGCGTTCGGCACCGGTCTCACCGAGTCACATGGGTATGCATGCATATATTCTTTATATAATAATTAATTATTCAAATTACTTTACAGACAATTCGCGTGAGAGTTCACCTTTACAGGATTTCGTTTTGCAATCGGCCCCTGGCTCGCCTGGCATGTCAATCGAGCAGCGCGCTGCCGATGGTGGTAATAAGTCTACAAGCAAGCGATAGCGCGTTTGTTTTTCTTTTAGTATAATAACAAAAATAATGTGCGTTGCATTGCAGATCTTATGTACAACAATACAACTCAGAATATGCACCATTCGACGGCTAACAATTCCCACAATCAATACAAGTAAATTTTTTGTTTTATTTTTAATATTTTGAATTTTGGTTTTTGGGTTTGCTCAATTCGAAATCATCAATTATGGCGCTTCTAAATTATTGCCATTTTTTTAAGTTATTATTTGTATGTCGAATATTTCTCTTGTAATTAAGGTCATCTCGTAAGAAGCAACTCGGTGCTAACTTTGTTGTGTGGAAGTTTCTTAGCGTAATTTTAGTAAAGCATAAATATTCTAAAATAATATGGGTCAGTCCTAACCACCTACGACAAAGAGATTATTTAAGAGTTAGATTTTTAGGAATATCTGGGTCGTCCTGGTCACGTAAACCCGGTTGTCGGGGAACGTGTACTCTCTCCTATGTTATGGCGTTTATTAGTAGATGAACTACTTGAGATATTATCCAATAATTTCATAATGTTAATTGTTCAGAGAACAGTTATTCTGACTAAGAAAGGAGCGCAATGCGAATATCAACACTGCCGCAACGACCTTCATTTCTTTCACCAAGTATTTGGTAAATAACACTGGTTAAAAAAGAGATAGAAATGTAATTCAAAGGGAAACAACATGAGCTTAAATATTTTCCAGAAAGCTAGCTGGTATATTCGTCACATGCGATATCGTACTACTCGTCCCGTAAAAACACATTTTTTCGGATTATGACACACGTGAACGCACTCTTTGTCCCATTCAGCTTATACTGCCCGACGTATCACGTAATTTTCTTTCGTATCGTTTTCGATCCGTGAACGGATGTTACGATTCGAGCGCTGAATTGAGACTTCGGCCGGTTGTGATTTAAACTTAGTTTAAACGCTCGAGCTGGCTAGTTTAAACAAAGATTATCTAAACAAATGCCAGCCTGCTGTTCAATATGAACGCAAATTACGTAATCTAAGTTTAAACTAGCCCTATTGTCTACTGCACACCTCTAACCACTCGACTTCGGTGGCCGCCAAAAAAAAAAAAATATATTTATGAAAAATTCTAGTAAGTGTAAATAGATTTTTTTTTTAACAAAACACATAGTTTTACGGTTTGAAGCATTTTACGAAAGTTAGCACCAAGCTTACATTATCCCTTAATATTATTTCATGGGTCGGTTATGGAAAGCAGCGCAATCCGAGATGAAGTCTGTTTCGTAATATATAAACTGTCATCATATTGTAAAATCAACAATCTGCGAACGCATCAGAGAAAATTTAGTTTTTCTCAAAAAAATTTCCTCGGCAACAACAAAAATGCAGTTGCCGGTATAGCAGCTTTTAGTTGCCAGTTACCATCTCTAATATCCTTTCTTCAATTTGCTACGCAGCTTAAACTCAGTTGCCATCCGTAATCGGCCCATTAATTAAACTTATTTTTCCACCTTTTATTCAATATGACTAACTCTCAATTGCTACTCGATTTCAATACGTTTCAGTAGTAGCGGAAGCCCATACTATGTTTCAAATCAAAATTCAGCTATAACCGGTGGACAACAACATCAACAGCAGCAGCAGTTGCACAATGAGAGTGGAGCTGGCAATATTGGCAATAGCAGTGGAAATGGTGTTGGCGCCTTGATTGCACTCAAACGCAATCATGCAATGGCAGCTGGCGCACAACAGCAGCAGCAGCAACAGCAGCAAGTGCAAACGTTGCATCCTGACATCATATATGAGGAAATGCCCACTGACTACAGTGGAAATATGGAATCGGGCGATGAATGTGGCAGTATTGGTGGTGGTGGTGGCAGTAGCGGTAATGGTGGTGGCTCTAGTGATGCTGCCAAACGACCCAAATACATTTCCGAAGTACTCTGATGTGTTGCTGTTGCCGTTTCCGTTTCTTCTAATGTTTGCAAGTAAATAAGCAAATTCAACATAAAACAAAACAATGATAACATTAACTATTGACAAACAATTGCCGCCACAAAATACCCGTGCGATCTCAAATGCATACTTTACATATATACATACATACATACATACATACAAACATTTATTTTAAATGTAAAACCAATTTGTTATACACAATGCCCAATTCATGAATAGGTAATAATTTTCAAATGGTTCCGCCTATTGCTTTTCGCTCACGGTATATTTTAAAAGCACATGCAAAAAAAAGCATATTGAAACCTTTTATCAAGCTTTTATTAGTATTTAAATAGCTAATAGCGCATTTGGTATTTTTTAAGAATTTTATGTTTTGATCAAAAACCGTCTCACCTTAATTAAATTGACTGCAATTGTTACCTTAGTGTCACCTAAAAAAATATTAATACCTTTCTGAATTGGGCTAAAAACGTGAAAACACTAAACACAGCAGCGGCACAGCGCAGAGCAAAAGACACTGAAACACATACATACAAAAACAGATAGATACAAACATTGCAAAAACTGTTGATGGCGAATTGCTTAATGCGAATGAAAAATTAATATCACAACAAAACTTGTGGAACAAACAGGAAGACAACAAACAATGATAAATCTTCATTATTACACCATCGGTATATTGAATTTAACAAGCGAAATATGTAAACAAAAAAGTAATTGTTTTATCGTTTTTAATCTCTCTGAAATATGAATATACAAATCACCCTTTATTGCTTTAATATTTGTTGTAATGATTTATTCGTTAAACGATTATCAAAATTGTAGATGTACTTGTGTACCCTGGACGAATTCAATATGCTTGATGATGCTATATTAAACTACTTAGTATGAAAAAAAGGGACAAAACAAGAAAAAAAGAAAACAAATTAACTACTTAAAAGTTGAAAAAAAGCTAAATACACACAAAAAAATCAAAACAAAAATAAAAAACAAATTTAAGAAATTGTAAACAAGCAAGCATATGAAAGTAGTACATTTTAAATGGTGGAAATAATAATAATTTAATATACAAGTAATAATAAATATACAAGCTAAAAATAAAGCAGCATGTTTGGAAGCAGGAAGCATGGAATGGTGGATACAAAAGCAACATCAAAATAGGCAAGGAAAGGCAAAGCGAAACAAAAAATTAATAAATCATCGTTGTGTGGCAACTGAAAAGGAAGCAAAAGAATTAATTACCTATCTCTACATACCTACAATTATATCGAACCTAAATCTAGAAAAACAAATTACAACTAATAACAAAAATTTTAATTATAAAGCAAGCAAGCAAACAAACAAAACCCCAACAAACAAATTTATGATAAAGATATGTATAATGATGATTGCACTTTATTTCTATTATAATAATAATAAAGAAAACTCCATTTCAATGTTTGGACAAAATGTGTATTGAGAAAAAATACAAAGAATATAGATAATCTCTGTGTATTCCTCATTCTTTACAATATCAATGTAAAATATGTTGTTTTAACTTGATGCAGTTTTCTTCGGGATTCTGGCGAATTCTTATATTTTATGTGGAACAGAGCTAGAGCTAGCGGGCTGTTAGCAAATATTATTAGAAACTTATCACTAAATCAATTAATTAAAAAAAAAAAAATACAAAAAATGCATATTGCCTAGTTTGTTGATCTAGTAATTTGCGTACCCAAAATACTAGTCAAATAATAGTTTGTGTTTTTTCTATAGATACCTTTATTCAAGCTCATAAACAAAAGAAAACACAGATATGCAATACGCTTCAAATCACCGTAAAAGACATCATGGCGCGAACCATATCCAATTTGCAAATACTGTATACCGAAAACGAAGGCAGTAAACTTGGGCACAGTACGCAGCTCTTCTATATTACCAGATATATGTCCATGATATTGTGCAACTTGATAATGTTCAACGGGCATACCTTGCTTGGCATCGGTAAGTACTGGTGCGTTCGGTAAGTACAAGTGTCGTCAATTTCATATCTGTATCGATGAAACCGCTGAGAGAGAAGCAGATGTAGCCCTATCGACATACAACTTTTGAGGGATTTCGCCGTCCTAAACAGGGTTAGATCGCCGAAACAACCGCCCCTGGTCGGATAAAACTCCAGTCATTCCGGTACGATTTTATCGCCAAAAGTCGGTTCCAAGGAATATTTATGGGGACAAATTAAAACAATATGTAAAAAAATTAATTTTTCTTTAGCAGTTTACTATTTTTCAATATAAAATTTAAGAACTTCCTGACTTCACTCTGGTGAAGTAGTAGTGAAGACATTTCTATTATGTAATTTCTTCACCAGGTAACTTTTTTTTTTATTTGTATCCCATTTCGTTGCCTCCACACTTAACAAGATTTTGATATGATTTTTCTCATAAAATGCAGATTTACGTAAATAAATATCATCAATTTCGAATTCCCTAACTTTGGATAAGATGGTATGGTCATAGAGCAAATATTCCTCGCGAAAGACATCACTATGCTACCGGTGTACACTTCTTGACGTAATGTTTCTGCACATGGCGCCGACTCTGGTCCACCACCTCCAAGCAGAAAGAGGCGTTCATTTGACTTTTGGTAAGCTACCATATCTATGGTACGATCGATTTTATTGAGGTCTACATATATGTCTGGCGCGGACTTGCGCCTCTCTGTGCCAATTTCAACCGGGTATGTTGGTAACAAATATAAGTCTCGGTAAATCCTCATTTATTGAAGCAGGCGCCATGTCTTGAGCAACGTATTCGTTCACGACCCAAAACTCATTTTATCAAGGGAGCTCCCTCATGCAGTCATGTTGCTCCAACTGCCCATATGCGCCCGTTTTGTCGTATTAACAGCAGCTTATTATTTTCATCAAAATTAACAGCCTCATTGTGTAAGTCGCAAATTAGGCCAAATTGTACGACTCGACAAAATTGGCATTGTCTACTGTCGTGCTGAAATAAATAAACGACGAAAATTGTACAGTGCTGCCAAGTTTTCCCGTTTTAATACACTAGTCGAGTGGAAATTTTAGGCAATGACGTGAAATTTTCGATACGATTCGACTCTCGAAAAACGACTTGCATTCGACACGACTCGCGGAATGAGGTTGTAAATTCCTTAACTTCATCGTTATTAATAACGGATTCATAGAAAATCGTAATTGGTTGGGCAAATTCCGCCATTTTCTATTGAAATAGTAGCGTTAACTATTGATTTTTAAAACTGTTGAATTAAAAAAACTAACGTCAAAATGGAATACTACGTTTGTCAGAAAACGCGAAAAACTTTCTTAGCACATGATAATCATATGGGCAAGGGCGACATTACCTTAGGTTTTTTTTTACAAATTATAACACAAAATTTGCTCCTGCTTTTGCTGAAAAGTAAATAAAAGCCCTGTGTACAGTTTTAGCGCATAATCTCAAAAATGCCAAATTTTGAGTTGTGACTCTTTTGAAGACGGTGTGCGAATTCATAAGAAAGCTTCAGTAAAATAGGTCCCTTTTCCGTAGTCTTCTTCATGTAACTGTTAAAGTTCACAACTTCCTCTTTTACACTTCCGCAGCTGTTGTGAATGCGTTTACAATGCAACCCTGCATACGGCGGCCATTTATTTCAGCAGGTTTTCGTGAAATGCACTGTTCGATTTGCATCTGATCCGTTCGCTCTTCAATCGACTTTATAATTTGTCGTATTTAAATTCACCCTACAGGAGGAAAGTATTTTCATCAGAATAAAAAAAACATAAATCTTTAAAAATGCCTGCTAAAGCTGTATGTGTAATAAACGGAGATGCGAAGGGCACCGTTTTCTTCGAACAGCAGGTAAGAGAAGCGTACAAATTGATTTGGACTTCTTTGATTCTATTGGGGTCCAAGGTCACGACACCGGCTGTCGCAGCGGAGCCCCACAAACGCAGTCGGCGTTTCGTTTAATTTTTCTTTTTGTAAAATTATCAATACACAAGTATCATATCAGCAGCATGAATAAGCGTTTTTAATGTTAAAAAGTATAATGAAAAAATGTAGGATTAATTATCCGATTGTTGGGTGCCGTGTGCCGTAGTTCGCCAATGTGTAAAGTACCTACATACATATTTACATTGGTATGTTCAATGTTAATATTAAATGAGATAGCAGAGCTTGTTATCAAATTGAGGAGTATATTGTGAAATTTGTAATACATATATTGCTTTTTACGTTGACCAGCTTTTTTTTTAATGATAATGAATGCTAATTAATTCCAATCGTTAGCGACGCGTAAAACCTTAAAAGTTTATGGAGCTGCTTTTATTATGTATGCATATAAGAAAAGAACCTTTCGACACATTGTATGTAAGTACACATATGTGCAGAAATATTTTTTATCAAACATTAACTCGATACACATATGTATGTAGGAATGTAGGTCTTCGTATTATAATATATACATACATAATTAGGGGATTCACAAGACGTGTTAACCGTCGTAAAATCTTAAGGTTAACATCTTTTTTAATTAAAATGGTTTTAGGGGATTTCTAACTAAACCGAAATTCTTTTAAACTGATAAAGAATATATAATTAGCCAACCCCCCAACCATTTTAACCGCTATTTTACATAAACAAGTGTTAAGCTTAAGATTTTACGACGGTTAACACGTCTTGTGAATCCCCTAAATATGTACTCTGCGACAATCATTTGAATGCATACCCAAGTTACAAAATGTTTAATTACGTGCATTATTTTTAGGATGTCAATTCTCCCGTTAAAGTAACAGGCGAGGTCTTGGGTCTCTCCAAGGGTCAACATGGCTTCCATGTGCACGAATTTGGAGATAACACCAATGGCTGCACATCGGCTGGTCCCCATTTCAATCCAGCTGGCAAAGAGCATGGCGCTCCAACCGACGAAAATCGTCATTTAGGTGATTTGGGTAACATTGAGGCCCCTGGTAATGGTCCAACTAAGGTTTGTGTATTATTTAATAACACAAATATCTTAATTTTTTATTTAAATTTTTTCATTTTCCTTAAGGTCGAAATTACCGACAGTCAGATTACACTTTTCGGTCCCAACAGCATTGTCGGACGCACTATTGTTGTGCACGCTGATCCCGATGACTTGGGCAAAGGCGGTCACGAATTGAGCAAGTCAACTGGAAATGCAGGCGCTCGTCTGGGTTGCGGTGTCATTGGCATTAGCAAGTCTTAAGGTGGTTTTAAGTTTCGTTTTCAATTACAGTCAGTCAATAAAGTTTAGGTACGGGGTTTTTTTTACACGACTTTCAACTATTAAAAATTTGATTTTTTGCAAATTTTTTGTAAAAATATGTTTAATTAATTCTCCAAAAAAACCCCAAAAGTCAGCGCTCCAAACCTTGTGCAAAATTAAAGAAAATTCTGCAAAATTGCATTCAAATATTGCACTTTTTATTTACGTTCTCTAAAAAAAAGCTGAGTATGCAGTTTTTTAGCCAATTAAATTTTAGTATAATAAAGTGCAAGTATGACGAAGTTGGACTTATCATTGATTTTTGGAATATTTTTTGTTGAAGGTGTCACACATTTTTTCCACATTAAACAATTAGCAAACATTATTTTATATAGCGAAACTGAGCAACAAAAAAATTGCTAAAAATAAATGGTAGGTCCTAGCTACCTAAAAATTGCACTTTGTTATACTAAAATTGAATGGGCTAAAAAACTGCGTTCGCAACTTTATTCTAAATGCTGTAAATAAAAAGTGCAATGTTTGGACGAAAATTTGCAAATTTTCTTTACTTTTGCATAAGGTTTGGAACTCTCATTGTTGGGGTTTGTTTGTAGAATTAATCATATTTTTATAAAAAATTAGCGAAAAGTAAAATATCTAAAAAATAGTTGCCGGTATTGTAAAAAATTCGCTGGACCTAAACTTTATTGACTGACTGTATATTTGAATGTTGTTCAAAAAGCGAATGTAGAGTGCTCTAGAACAACTTTCGCGTTAAAATGAATTTTCAATTATTATATGAATAGGTATATACATATATAATATGATACTGCACTTAGCATTTCAGCAGCTGATTTAACTGATTAAAAATAGTGTAAGGTACCTCAAAGTTACCGCTTATATAGGTGGGGTAATATAAATAAAACGGTGGAAAGGATAACATTGTAATGAATGAATGAATCATTTTAGCATGTAAGCAATCAGAAAATTTTTATTTAAGACTACATAGATTTGATCGCTCTCACATAGCTGCAAGACGGCAGCAAAAATATCAGCGCGAGGATTCAAGAAGTCACCTTATAAATTGACGTCAATAAATCAAATGTTCCAACGGCAGACGGCTCAGATTTCTATCTGACCTAGGAGTGTCACTTCAGCAACTTTACATAATATTTTTCAACAAAAACCAACGACTTTCCGATGACCGGTAATACGTTGCCAAAACGAGCAGGGGAAACAGACAATGACAATCACTTCAGCACACCACGAAAGATCAAACATACAAAAGTAATAAAAACAAAAGAGATAATTTAAAGCGACTACTGCTTTTTATTTTATTTTTTCATATAGATGCATTTTAATAATTTATAAGCAGTTGTAAAATATCAATGTATGTATTTACTTCGCCAGTGCACGAGCATAAATTACAAGTATAATGAAATGAATACAAAATACAATTTTACACTAAAATTCAATTTAACTATTCGCCGCTTCAATTTCTTTGTAAACTTCACGTTTGTATTCATCCAAACCACCCTCCATAGCGCGCACAGTACGATTGCCGCAAACCCAAAGCTCCTTGCAAACGACCTTGATAAGGCGTTCGTCGTGAGATACTAAAATGACGCCACCCTATGAAGAGAAAAATGTTGTTTTAATAAAAAATTGAATACACTTTTGTAGCGAAAATATTTGGTACGAAATATCAGATGACATAATAGTTCAGCCTAACATTCGAGGCTTAGCAATACCTTAAATGCATTAATCGCTCTTCCTAAGGCATCAATGGTCTCAATATCCAAGTGATTTGTAGGTTCATCAAGCACCAAAAAGTTAGGATCGGCTAAAAAAAAAAAATTCCGATAACTATTGATTTATTTCAATTATTTTAGTACACAATACCCATGCACATTTTCGCAAGAGCTACACGCGATTTCTGTCCTCCCGATAAACTGGCAATGCTCTGCAAAGCCAACTGCCCTGATATGCCAAAACTGCCCAATTGTCGTCGGTATTCTTCGTCCGGCCGTCCTTGGAAGAGTTCGGCCAAAACGCCCACACAGGTGGTATTCATATTCAAATGATCGACGTGATGTTGCGCAAAGTAACCAATACGAAGACCCCGATGCGAAATGATGTTGCCATGTATGGTGGTCAATTGACCAACAATGATTTTGAGCAATGTTGTTTTACCAGCACCGTTTTCACCTACCTAAAACAACGAATGTATGCATACAAAATTCGTAGAAGTCAAAGATATTTATATATATGTAATTAGATCACATTTCAACTTACTATACAAATTCTAGAATCGGAGGTAGCTGATAAATTCACATTTTTAAAAACGGGCAATGGATCTGTGTCTTTATATCTAAATTCGATTTCGGATAAAGCTAATACCGGTGGATTTAAAGGTTCAACATCAGGGAATTTCAGTTTAACTTCGATTTCTTTCTCAACAGGTTTCAATTCGGGGCTGAAATTGGAAGTTGAAGAGAACGGAATCACTTATGTACAAATTAATGGACTGATTAAACCTACACAGAGTTTAAAGCTAGCAATACGACTTAGCCTAACACTTATATTTTATAGACTTACAGTTTTTCCAACATTTTAATTTTTGACTGCACGGATGAAGCGCGGTTAGCGTTGTAACGAAAGCGGTCGATGAATTCTTGGACGTGCGCACGATGTGCCATTTGTGCCTCATATTCGCGCCGCTGGGACTTCATCTTTTCGTTTTTAGTCTTTTCAAACTGCTCATAATTACCTCTACATGAAATTTTTAATATTAGTTGCCGAATAGCAATTACATTGGCAAACCTGCATTCATTAACTCACTTGTAAGCTTCCAGTGCCTGGGAATGTAGATGTATGATATCCGTTGGTACAGTTTCCAAAAAGTTACGATCGTGAGAAACAACTAAAAGCGTTGTCGGCCAAGTCTGAAGGTAATTTTCCAGCCAAATAATAGCCTTAATATCCAACATGTTTGTCGGTTCATCGAGCAATAGTAAATCGGGTTTGGAGAAGAGCGCACGTGCTAAAGCCAAACGCATACGCCAGCCGCCAGAGAAAGATCTTGTTGGTCTTTGCTGCATATCGGCGTCAAAACCCAAACCACGTAATATAACAGAAGCACGTGCCACCGCTTTGTCAGCTTCAATATTTTGCAATTGTGCGTACACTTCATTCAATTCGGAACTTAATTTCGTATCCTGTACACCGCTATTTAGTGTGGCAAGTATTTCTTTTTCGCGTGTCAATAGGCGATTACGCTCTAAATCACATTCCAAAACACTATCAACGGCTTTAGTATCATTGCCGACTACTTCCTGTTCGACATGAAGCACGCTAATGTGTGAGGGAATGGCCAATTGCCGATCAGATATCATGCGAAGCAGGGTGGTTTTACCCAAACCATTACGGCCGACTAGACCATAGCGCCGGCCGCACGATAACAACAAGTTTGCATTTTGCAACAGAACCCTGCGAATAAATAATGAAATAAATCTACTTGCTGGTTGGCATTCAAGAGGGTGGGAACGGATTTTTAGGACCTAAAGATCTATAAAAAAAAAGGCAAAATAAAATAACTTTTAGGCAGGAAAAGGCACTTGAAGTGGCAAATTGGCAAAGGGAACTAAAGAAAGAATTTATTTTAAGGATGTTTATTTTACAAGTCAAAAGAGAAAAACTAGGAACTAGTTTCATTATATGAAAAATGTATGCTTCAAATCTTTGACTATTTTCTCTTTTCTAGTTTTTAATTCACAAAACTTTAATCTCTATTGTTGTACCTAGTAACATTGTCGTTCCCACGACAGTCGGGTCTACGTAACCGGAACGACCCAGATTTATATTTGGCCAAGGACTGTCACTCCAGCAACGCTCCGCAAAAACCCTTTGGGGAGCTTGTATGCTGCTACAACAACAACAACATGCATTTTGAAGTTTTCTGGCAGCATTTTTATTCGATTTTCGCGAAGAAAAGCCTTGAATGTACTAAACGTCCGCTGACGTTAGTTGATACAAGTGGTCCCAATTTAAATATGGAACGTTTAAAACATTCATATCCAAAATCAAATATATATATATGGAATCAGGGAAAGCTAAATCGTGGACATTGTTAATGGAATATATTCTGACTCTTTTGCAGAAAAAAGGTATTTTCCATTAAATCCGTTCCCTGGTTATGTACATACTTGTCACCAAAAGCCAAATCGAAGTTCTCGATTTTAATGTCCATCGAACGATTGGTACCCTTTTGTTCCATTTTAGTATTTTTCTTGCTCATCACTTGTGAAGCTGTTGCAGTTTGCAGCTTGACGGGCGCGGCTACGGCTGATTTTCCCACGTCAGACCGTTTTTCTTGCTTTTGCTGTAGCTTTGCTTCGGCCTTCTCTAGTTTCTTACTATTTACCTTCTGCATTTAAAAGAAATTATGCACATGCATGTTATGGTTTTTATTTCTTATATTGAAAAAATATTTTACCGATCCACCGTCCTTTGAATTAAGCCATATGCTTTGCATATTTTTATCAACATTTTCCATCTCTTTTGCCATTTCGGCGATATTGACGGGTGCATTTAATACTTTACGTGTCTCATTTTTAGTATTTTTTTTGATGATATTATAAAATTGATCGCAGAGTTCTCTACAAGAAAAAAGGTTTATTAAAGTAACTTCCAATTTTCGTTTTGCAACTAACCTTATATCATCCTCTGTCTTTTCCATATCAATGCTTTGCAGTATATCACCCACGGCCTCATAGATATCATCGCATGACTCAAAGTCTTCCAAACTACCACATAGTACACCTGAAATGCGAATTTGTCGGTGGATCAAACTTCTCTTCAGAATGTGACCAACTTACCCTCCACATAATCCTTTAGCTCATTGTCAATGGCTGGAAACTCACGCTGTAAAATATGCGTAAATTTGCCCATTTTTATCCCTCCGTGCAGTTCTTAAATTCCTGGAACGTGGTATACTTTCCCCACTGCAAGGCAGTAGCCAGCCTTCAATGCACAACACGACAAATTGCCACACAGTTGCACTACTGCGGTGACTATTTGTTATTATATACTGTTTTTTTTTCAACTTTAGTAGCTTCTAACTACCGTTGATAACTAATAGTTTGCGCTACATAAAATTTATATGAAAATTTGCAAAAATTCCATACAATTTGTACACGCAGGAAAAAGTTCACAGAAGGGATGTCGGAAAAACATCGATGCATCGAAAATATCGATATTTTGCTTCGATGCATCGAAAATTTTCCACTCGATGTATAAATAGTCATGTATCGATGTTTTTTGAAAGCTGACAGCTACGGTACATTGAACCGTCATTCCAGTTTTAAAATTGTTAAAAAAAAAAGGTGACTATGGCCAAAAAATTTAAATGGCTGCAAGAAGTTCCGTTAGAAACATAATTAGCTCAGTCGCAGTAATTTATTTTAAATTTTTTACAATTTTGCTAAATAACATAACATATTTTGTTGTGAAACATTATACGCCCTTCGATGGATCGAAAAATATCGATGTACATTTCGATGCATCGAACCAAAGAAAAACATCGATGTATTTTTGCCACTGATATTCCTAGTTCACAGCTGGGGTAATAACGGTGCAGCGAACAAAGGTGGCGCCGTCAGTGGTACCGCTACTTTGGTTTTGCCGATTTTGACAGTTGTGGTAACTTGTAAATAAACCTTTGTTTACAAATCAGCGAAAGAGAAATATGAATTATAAGTAAAAATCAGTTTAAATTGTGTTAATTTGCAATTTGTGAGTGATTTTTGAGTTGAAGACTGCGTAAAAACTAATACAATGAAGTGTGTTAAATAGCGACAGCCGTCAAGATGCAAGAAGCGTAGATACTAGTGTTGCGCTGGGACGAATCGCTGCATTTTGTGTACATAGGGCACGGCAAAGCCGTTCCCGAAATGTTTCTCTATTATTATATTAACAGCATTTCCTCACAATGATTTTTTTTCTGCTCCACGCAGCCTCTATTAGCAAGTTGACTAATCAATCCCGCAAAGATGCTGCTGCAGTTTTCTGCAGCAGCCTTAATTGCAAAGCAATGGAGTCTACTAAAACGTTTGCTGAAGCAGCCTCAATTGCAAAGCAATGGAGTGCACTAAAATGTTCACTGTTCTCTAAGAGATTAGGTGAAAAATGCAATATTTTCGCATTTAGCAAAATTAAAACACGTTTTTCGCTGTAAAGTGAACTGCTTTGGCAGTTTCAACTCGTTCTTCTTTTCGCTCTATTCTTTGTTTACTTGTGGTACACAAATGTCAACGCCCAGGACGGCGCAATCTTGTATTCTATCATTCTTGAACCTTTTTGTGTACTCCTCGGGCGGCGGGGGGGTAAGGGGGGGGGTTGGGGTACAATCTGATTAGGGTTGATAATGAGAAGGACCATGAATTTTCATGAACGAAAGACACAAGATCAGGTAAGAACAAGAGAGTTAAAAAAGTAGACTTTTTGTAGCGGGTTCTACGCCATCTTGTTTCACTGGAAAACGAGCGAAAAGTAAATAAAGAGCAAAGAAAACAACGAAAACCAAAATTATTGTCAGCCACTTTAAACGCACAATTTAGGTAAAATGATGCAATAAAATGCTTGAAAATGTGTTGTCATGTTGAATTAACTCCTCTTTACATAAATAAAAGTGTAAAATAGTGGTGCTTGTGATGTAAACAAACGCTCATCTGACCAACCCGCTTTCGCAAACTTTTTTCTCAAAACCAGTTACAAATACAACGTCGCGTTATTACGTGATCTTGTATTTGGACTTTCAAAATTGTGTGGTAGAATCTGTAAAAAATGTGGTAGATTTCAAACTGTGGCAGATCTCGAGTTTTGGATCAAACTTTGTACAAAAATTAAAAAAATTCTGCAAGGTTTCTCTGAAATTGCAAACATTTTAATTAAAATCTAAAAAGAAATGAATTTTAGTGTAAAAAGTGCAAGATTGAAGTTGCTAAAAATCAGAGCTGTAAAATTATTGAATCAGTAGGATCTGCATTCACTTGGCACTCGTTTCAAAGTTTTGATTGTTTGGCCGTATAAAAAAAAACCTTATTCCTGAGTGGCTTAAATTATTTTGAAACAAAAACAAACGTAATGTGTTGTTGAATGGCAGAGTTCCATTCAGTACAGAATGTGAATGTAACAAAAGTATTCGCAATCATCGTGATTGTAAATTTTCGTTGAATGCAAACAGTTTTGATCATTCAGTACTACACTGAAAAAATATGCCTTGGAAGAAAATATTTATTGGAGAAAATAGTCGTTTTACTTCTGCTTTTCTACCACTGCTACAATTTGGTAAAGCATTACCTAAGACCAGAAGTACGTACCAGCTTTGGATATTCTGTTAATGCTGTTTAAAACCAACTGCATGTTTTTGAAGGAAACTTCAATTTTGTACGTAGAAATAGAAAACTTGTTACTTCACATGCATGAGCGCCTGGTATTGGGAAATGAGAATATCGTTCTTTACAAATAAAAACTGAATATTATATTCTAAAAAAGGACATTATATGTATGTGGCTAAACCATGGACTGAATGATATAAGCTGCTATCATTTGATGGTTGTTATGCTTGATTATTTCATGTTCTGCACATTTTCCAATCTTTAAAAGAAAAAAATTATAGATACTAATTGTCTTGGAACATTTTGCACTCAGTTCTTAAACACCAAAACTATAAATTTGTACAATATGTTCATGTGAATCAAGCTGCGTTTCATGCGTGGAGGAGTCCAACCACAACCATTCATTCGTAGGACATGGCTTAGCCCGCGTGGCCGCTGTGCATTGATACGCGACACTATGTCAATATCGTTTTAAAGTTCATACACCTCATTATTCCATCATCTAAACTTACATATTTTTCTTAGTGTATAAAATTTGATTGGAACTGAATTAGAGAATGCACACATAGCAAAGTGTTCATTCATCTGGAAGCTAATTCAGTATTGAATTCCGTTTACTTCAGCATTCTCAGTTTTTCATTCAGTTATTTAGTACCTTACTGTGTGAAATCAATTTTTTTTTTTAATGATTGTAGATTGAAAAAAAATATAAGCCACACTACCAGATCAAAGGAAAATTAATGAAATCCTACTTGTAAATATTTCATGATTAAAATTTTAAATGATTTCGCAGTTTTACAGCTCTGCTAAAAATTGCGTTGAGTTTCGGCAATTTTTTTCCTTGACAGTGTAAGCAGTTCCTTCCATATCAGGATATTTTTCGAACATATTTTGAAAGATTTCTGTAATCTTGCGGAGAGCTGCCAGCTTTTCTTTTCATCACATCACGATGTAGCGAACAAATGTTGCACGTTCCAGAAACCGCTACTTGGGATTTACTGATTTTGACAATTCTAAAGTAAAAGTAAACAACGCATTAGAAACTTTAGATGCACTGAAATTTGCTAATACTTTCACAAATTTATTAGCGCAACCATGATAAAAACATAACAAGGTAAAACCATTGAGAGGCAGTCTGACGTTTGCCAACAATATAATTTTAAAATCAAAACTCAAACTCACACACACATTCTCATTTTCAATCTCAAACAACAACAATTGTGAACAATTTAATTTTTTTATTTTCAATTTTATATGATTTTAAAATGTTGGCAAACGTCAGAAAAAAATCATGGCCGACGAAATGAGAGAATGAATTTACCTTGTAATGTTTTTATCATGAGCGCAACGACTTATTTTTTACAGAAATTATTTTTTTTTGGTAGAAAACCACTTAATAAAAAACATTTGTTTTGAAGTTTTTTGTTATGTTGAAAGACTCCATTTATTTTAAGAAAAGATTACTAAAAAATTAACTTAAATAAAAATTCTTGAAACAATTTTTCGTTTTGTTGTAATTAAGGCATCTAGCACCGGGATTACGGATCCTGAACCCCGGGAATCCCGAGCCCTTTTTTGAGTCCTGAAACCCCGGGATCAAGCCCACGGGATCCCGGGGTATAATTTCTACCTCCGATTAGTGCTAATCAGACATTGAACAACCGGCCCTAAAGAAATGAAATAGGTAAAATTTTGACAGCTTATAAACATGTATACACACATGAGTTGCGTTCCCCAACTTTTCTGGGGGTTAAAACCTGTAAAACTGTCAAAAAGCAAAAGAAGCCAGAGAACCGAGTACGGGAACGCTTTCTGGTAAATTCCTGTAAGTTCTTGCGAGTTAGGGAATGCAATTATGTATACATATGCTTGGCGGTAATAAAAGCTATGTTTCAGGTAATTATCACTAATTTCTGCTGGAGAGCGTTTCTTAACCCAAAAAACTAGCAGCTCTCTCTCGTTTTTACGCTCTTAATTTTTGCTCCTGCTAATTCCTGCTGGTACAATTTTTACTAGCAGGAACTAGCAGCTGTCAAAATGGACAAACAAAAATTCGGGCCAAATATTTCCAATAGTCAAATATATCGATCAGCTTTTTACTTGCTAGTTTCTGCTAGTTTTGCGTTTCTTTACTATTTATTTATTTCGCTCTCTGTGAGCATAATTCTCGTTTCTTGCAAGCAAGGTACATTGAACAGGTAGTATCAGTAGAGCAGCTGATTTGATTTATTTTCAAATTATTTGGTCTCGAAAATGTCAAATATTTTGAATTTTTTCTCACAAAAATTTTGAATTGTTAAAATCCATTTGCATGTGAAACCTTTTTCCATACAAAACAAGCGATTGAATAGCAGCTTTTGGAACGTTCGCCCAACTCGGCAGCACGATCGCTGATTACTGGGCCTTGCAAAGGATGGATCAATGCTTCGAGAAGCAAACAAATTTACTAGGAAAGAAAGTTGCATCAATTTTTATTTTTTCCAATTTTAATTTTATATTTTTTTATAATTTTTTGTATTTCACATGGCACGCTTTGATTTAGAAGAAAAAATTCAGAACAGTTTTTGACACTTTCGATACCAGAAGCAACAACAAAATACACGCAAATGTTGTTTTTGCTCTACTGATACTACCTGTTTAATGTGCCTTGCTTGCAAGTTATAAATCAAAAATAAATTTTAACAATTTCAGCAACACACAAAAACAGAGCTTTCGCACGAGCGTTTGTTTGTTTTTTCAACTGTCAAACTTTTACTTGGTATTTGGCACAGCAAAATTCAATTTATTTGTACACCACAGCAAATTTTTCCATAAAAAAAAACGCAATTTCAGAAT